GAACGAATCACTGGTTTGACGAAGAATGTCAAACTATAACAGAAAGAAAAAACAGAGCATATCTACAGATGCAACAGAGGCACAGAACCCGACAAGCAGAGGAAGAATATAAACAACTACGTAAAGAAGAAAAGAAAATTCACCGAAGAAAGAAGAGAGAATATATCAACAAAGAACTTCAAGAACTACAAGAACTAAGTAAACCAACAGAGACAAGAAAATTTTACCAGAAACTCAACAAAAGCAGAAAAGAGTTCAAACCGAGAACAACGATGTGTAAAGATAAGGAGGGTAATATATTGACAGAACAGCAAGAGATACTTAGAAGATGGACAGAACATTTTAAGGAAAAGCTTGGGGTGAATAGGACGGAGATGAACCCTGATATACCATTAGACCAAGCAGACAACAGAGAAAAGAGTCCACCAACAATAGCAGAGATTAGAACAGCAGTGGACAAATTAAAGAACAATAAATCACCGGGATCGGATCAAATATCATCGGAGCTACTGAAAGAAGGAGGAGACGCATTACTTAAAGCCATACATGAGCTGATAAGAAAGATATGGTTGAATAAACAGCTACCAAAGGAGTGGAATAGCGGCATTATTGTACCACTACATAAAAAAGGAAACCAGTTAGAATGTGAAAACTACCGTGGAATCACGCTGTTGAATGCGGCATACAAAATAATGTCCAACGTAATGTATGAAAGACTTAGACCATACGCTGAAAAAATAGTTGGCAAATACCAATGTGGCTTCTGTAGACAGAAGTCAACAATAGACCAGATATTTGTTCTGCGACAGATCCTTGAAAAAACAAGTGAATATAACATCGACACACATCATCTCTTCATAGACTTCGAAAGCGCATATGACAATATAAACCGAGAATTCCTAACAAAAGCAATGAAAGAATTTAATATACCAACACAGCTAATAGAATTGATAAAAGAAACACTAAAAGTAGAAAGTAAAAATCCGGATACAAAACGAATTAACGGAAACAATAGATGTGAAGAAGGGACTACGCCAGGGAGACGCTCTATCATGCATATTATTCAACATCATACTTGAAAAAATAATAAGAGACACAACAGTTAATACCCGAGGAACAATAATTAATAAAAGCGTGCAAGTACTAGCATTTGCAGATGATGTTGACATAATCGCAAGATCAAGAAGAGAAATGATAGAGGCATTCACTCAAATAGAACGAGCTGCAAAAAATAGTGGTCTTAAAATCAATCAGACAAAAACAAAATATATGCCTGCAAATAAAAACGCACAAATAAGGCAGCTGCCAAATTTAACAATAGGAGAATACAACATTGAGGCGGTAAAAAACTTTACATACTTAGGATCCCTAGTTACGTCTGATAACAACGTTGCAGAGGAAGTGAAGAGGAGAATATTTATTGCCAATAAATGTTACCATGGCTTAATTAGGCAACTAAGATCAGATAACGTCTCCAGAAAAACAAAATGCCAAATATACAAAACCTTAATAAGACCGGTACTCACATACGGTTCAGAAACCTGGACACTCTCTAAAAGGGAGGAAACGTTATTAGCCACCTTTGAAAGAAAAATCTTGCGACACATATATAAGGGCACAAAAGAAAACGGGATTTGGCGGAGAAGGTATAACTTTGAACTATACAACATATACCAGGATCCGGATATCATAACATTCATTAAAATAGGAAGGCTACGTTGGATTGGACATGTGGAAAGAATGGAAGAAGGCGAAATACCAAACAAAATATTCAAACAAGTGCCAGTAGGAAAAAGAACAAGAGGAAGACCGAAGCTGAGATACGTAGAACAAATAGAAAATGATATAACAACATTAAAAATTAAAAACTGGAAAAAAAAGCACGAAACAGGTCAGAATGGAGAAGAATCCTTGAACAGGCCAAGACCCAAAAAGGGTTGTCGAGCCAGTGATGATGATGATGATAAGAAATGAGTTCAGTCGATTTCTGAGAGATATTTAGCTATTTGCTACAATTTTCTTATGAATGATTAACTAGTTTATCTTCGATCTGTTTGTATTAATCCTACCAGTTGATACGACAGACGTTTTCATGTCTTAGCTATAATGAATATGATAATACAACAATGAATAGAATCTGATCCGTTTCAGGAATCCAATATATGCCAATATATGTCAATTTAACTTAGCCACTGGCGCAGCACAATCCAGAAGCTTCTCAACAACGACATCTCTACGTTGTTCATATTGATTTTATCGATTCCGTCATGTTGCCTGTCAGTTTGACTTGCTCGAATATTTTTTTTTACTTGCAGCATTCCAAGGTCTACGACCTAAGATGCTACCTCTACTCTAATTAGTAGCATTCTTCTTCGTCCATTTGGGGACATATCTCGTGCTATTCGTACTATTCTATCTTGTGCCATTCTATTAATGTGTTTGTTCCACTCCTGTTTCCGTTTTGTCACCCATCCATTTATGTCTTCTATATTGCATGCTCTTCTTATGTTTTCGCTTCTCTCTCTATCCAACAGATTTTTCCTTGATATTCGTTGGATTATTTTTATATTTGCTGTTTCTGTAGTCATCTCTAGTTTTAGATGTTTTCAGCCACTCCACCTTCTTCTTCTTCTTAACGTGCCCTATCAAGTCCCCTTGACTTTGGCTTAACATGGCGAAACTGTCTCTGTCTCGAGCTATTCTAAAGAGTTGCTCAGCTTTCCTTATTCCTGTCCATTCCCTGATATTCTTCAACCAAGAGGCCTGCTTTCTACCAATTCCTCTGCGTCCTTCGATTTTACCCATCATAATAAGTTGAAGAATAATATATCGGTCTCCTCTTACTACGTGTCCAAAATAGGCCATCTTTCTACATTTGATGTTATCAAGCAGTTCGCGAGCTGTCTCCACCATGTATGTTAATATAGGTCTAATCGCTGTTATAGATTCTTGTTTTTGTGTCTTGTCTTAGTTGTTTGTTGTACGTTTTCTTCAAAATCTCAATAACTAGTTATATCTATTGCCAGATATCTAAACCTTGCTTCTGCTTTATTATTTTACCAGTAATTTGGATTTTACATCGTAATGGGCATTTAGATGTTGTCATACATACATTTGGTTTTTTTCTGCTGATATTGTCATATTGTATTTCATAGCTATTGTATTGAAGATGTGTGTTAATCGTTGGAAATCGTCTTTTATCTCGGCGATTAATGCGGCGTCGTTTGCATAACATAATATTTGGATTTCTTTGTTCCCCATTCTGTAACCATGACCTTTACGTACTGCTTGTATTATTTCGTCCATTATTATATTAAAGAGAAGTGGGATTAACAAGTCATTCTGTCTAACTCCGCTTTGTACTGGTATACACTGTGTTAGTTTTCCATTTATCTTTGCCTGTATTCGATTATGGAGGTAGATGTTTTCAACGGTTTATATAATATTGATTGGTATGTTTCATTTATACAGTAGGAGTAAGACGTCTTCGACTTAGATGCGATCGAAAGCCTTTGCCAGGTCTATAAAACAAAGATATGGTTGGTTTATTGTACTGGATGTCCTTTTCTGTGATTTGTCTTAGTACAAATATCTTCCGGATCTGAATCCTTGTTGTTCATCTGATAAATTTGTTAGTTTATTGATTTTGTTGGTTAGGACTTTTGTGGTAAGCTTAAGTGCGGTGTTCAGTAGATTTATACCTCTATAATTGTTGGGTTCTTCTTTATGTGCCTTCTTGAACATTGGTATCATTATGCTGTTTCTCCATGCTTCTGGTATCTTGCAGTGCAATATTAGTTTTTGTAGAAGTTTTATCATCTTTAGCGTTATACTTTCTTCTCCGTGTTTTAGAAGCTCGTTGGTTATTCCATCTGGTCTTCTTTAGTGATTCTATATAACCATGTATACCATGTGTTAGACCAATGGGCAAAAATCTATGAGATGAACTAACTACGACCCTTGTTATCACTACACTATTGGTATCACCCACATTTTTACACTGCAAAGAAGCTTTGTTATATTTAATATTTTTCTTTTTATTCGTCATCATGATCGTGTTGTGTTTTTTTTTCCATGTGAGAGAACACAAAAATTTCTTTTTGCATGCTATACTTGATATTTCAAATAATATTACGGCATAATTGCATCAGAGAATCATGGGTATTGAGTTCTTCAGAAGCTTGTAGCCTATATTACGTAATTTAAAGTCGATACCGTCTTAATTAACACTCTATCTTTCTATTCTGTTAATAGACCAGAAAAATTACTAAATAAAAAGCTTTTTTCGTGACACTCTTTCATACAGGTAACTAACAACTGCTTTTGATAAGTTTGGTGATAACAATATTTCATTTCTTGGTATTACTATGTCAAACACTGAATTCATAGCTTTAAATTTATAAAAGTCGAAATATCTCCAGTTCTAATCAACAAATTGGCGTTTTTTTTTATTCTGGGATACCTCTTTGCATATATTACATAAATTCAATTAAGTAATTTATGAATTGTCTATTTAATCGAGTAATTTATTTAAACAATTTAAAATAAATGGTTATTTTGCAAATTTTTAATTTTCTCTTACTATCATTAGTAGAAAAGGTTATGAAATGACAGATAACTTAACTATTTATGTATTATAGTTATAAATAATATCTTTTAATAACAGCTTTTACAAAAAATTAATTTTTTATTTGAAAATCAAATCTATACTTGTTAATTTTTCTTGAATTATTCTATTAACGTTTATAATAATATATGGTATTATATTAATAGTAATATTGCACCTATTCTCACGCAAAATTAAATTTTTTTGTGCATTTTTAGAAAAGTCATTATTAATTTCCAAAAAATGGGCTTAGAAGCTATTTTTGCAATAATTTAACAACAAATTAACAAATCTCTCATTTTAAAGAATTTTTTATTTTGTCAGCAAAATTCTGTCACAAAGTCATAGTCGGAACGTACAAAGCGTTCTATAACTAAAAAATACTGTTTTCTAGATGAGCCCGTGGACTGGAGTGAAGCAGAAATGGAAGTGATAAGTAGAGAGGACGAATACGATGATATTCAGCTAAAACCTGAACCAGAAGACCCAATGACAGAATCTAATTCGATGTCAGACGATAAATTGTTTTCTCCCTTGACCTGCGAACTATGCACCGCCACATTTACGATCCCTAGGGAATGGGTACGGCACGTACAGACTCATACGGATATGTTGCCGGCGAAAAGAAGAAGACGAAACAGCAGTGAAGGGAACGTAAGTTCTTAAAGACTTTTCTCCTTAAATTATAGTTATACTAGTGGTTTTGACCGTCACCATGCGAGGGGGATTCAATTAATTAACTTCCTCATCATCGTTAACATCATACTCTTCGATGTCTTTAAATCTTCTAATAACGGATCCATGCCTTTCACCCACAATAAACAATAATATTTAGTTTATACTTTTAATTTCGCGATAACCTACAATAGACAGGCAGTTGTTTGTTATTAGGTTATGATATAACTTCATAACAAACAACTTGGTTATATATTTTCGCAAAATTCTTTAAAATAATCCTTTTTGAGCACGATTTCCGGGGTGGTTTGAAGTCAAAACGTCAAAGATTAGTTGTTAAAAAAGTAATTTTCATTACAACTAATAATTGTGGCTTAATCACATATAAACACAATTATTATATTCTTATTGGCCAGTTCACCTGCTTTTGTTGTGTACTGATCATTCTCATTTCTTTCTGGGTTTTGTAGATTTTTTAAATTCTTTTTGTTGCTTCAGGAATCCAACTCATACGAAAACGATACATTTCCTGAGTTGATGTGCGACCTGTGCCAGAAGCCCTTCCATACGCCTTCAGAATGGGTAAAACATATCGAGAGTACCCACACGGAATTCGAATTGCACCTTTCTAATAAGCAGAACACCGATGGGATTACCAATTTGAAAACGTTTGATTCTCCACAACCAGAACTAAGTAAGTACACTGTTTTTTTATTGTTAATATACTATTTAAAACAAAATAAGACAAGATAAAGTTAAATCCATATATAAAGACCGCTTTGCCATTTAATGCTGATAACTTTATTACTAGTAACCCAAGTAAGCGAAGATATCTTTAACATCTTTATCTATAAAATTTTAATGCTCTGTTGTGTCAATCGGCGCTGCTCAACAAGTTTTCTTATTTTATTTAGAGGACCTATATCTATATAAACGAGGTTTCTACAGCCTCTGCCGCTTCTTGCATTTCGACCGCCATCGTTTTCTGACCATACATTCGTCTTCTTGATGGCTCTATCTCTCATTATGTGCCGTACATTTTCTTCCCAGGTATCTGAAGACCTTCCTCTTCTTCTTTGTTAATTTAAAGCTTTCTTTGGCCATCTATCTTCATTGATTCGCTTCACGTGACCATACCACACTAGTTGTCTCGTTTCAATACTGTCTACAATATAATATGCATTATTTGTCCTCCTTCTAATATCTTCATTCCTGATATGATCATTTTTGGATACACCAAACGCTCTCTTTAAAAAATCCATTTCTACTACTACTATTATTTTTCTATCTTTCTTCGTGATCTGCCAAACTTCTGCCCCATAAGTCATAATAGGTTCTAAGAAGGTTCCTTCGATAGATTGTTAATTTCGTTTCTTGTCTAATATCTTTAGCCCATAGTAGATAATTTAGAATGTTTACCGCTTTCTATCCCTGCTACGTTCTGTTTTCGATGTCTCTTTTGGTAGTGCCTTCTTTAGATATTATAGATCAGAGATGTTTATATCATTACGTGTTTTTGTGTTTCTAATTTCTAACTCTGGATCTTCTTCATCATCTCCTATTGTAAGATACTCTGTCTTTGACATATTCATATTGAGGCCCCATTTTTCATATTATTTCTTTAGTTTTCTAAACATGTAGCCCATGTATTCCTCAACATACGCTACGACTACCTGATCATTTGCGAAAAATAAAGTTGTTAGACATTTACCACCCCCTATGTCCATTCTCATTCCGGATATTTGTTTCCTCCACTGCTCTAGCGATGATTGAATATATATTTAAATAAGGTCGGAGATTGACAACATCGTTGTTTAATTCCCTTTGTTATTGGAAATGATCCAGTTATAAAGTTCCTTCTTTAACGAACCTTCTTGCATTTTTGTATATATTTGCGATAGCATCCACATACTCTCTACTGAGACCTACTTTCGTCAACTTTCGTTTTTTCGATTACCTGCTGCAGAACGAAATATACCATCAGTGAACGAGCTTCCTGCCCGTAATTCATTTTGTTCTTCTATGTCTTCATATTCCGATTCTATTCTTTCTTTGATTATTCGACCGTACAATCTCTCTAATGAGATGATAACAGTTATTCCCCTATAATTAGAGCAATTGCGTTTATCCTCTTTTTTGAATATTGAGCTGAAGTATCCAACATCCAACAATCATCAGGGATATTTTGTCCTTTTAAGCATTTGTTAAATAGTTGAACCAACATCTCATGTATTATTTTTGGTCCATACTTTACCAACTCAATTGGGATGCCTCCTTTGCTGCTTTACCGTTTTTCGATCTTTTTAGAGCATCGCTTAAGTCTTCGGTTGTTATCTCAATTATTTGTGTATGTTGAGAAATTTCTTTCCATTTCGATCTCTTAGAATTTACATCTATCCTCTGTCAGTAGAGGATTTAGAGGACCTACAGAATATAATATATCGTATTCTTATAGTGAATTTATTAACAAACGTGTTTTAATGATTTTTATTTAATTTCTTGTCACAAAAATATTGAAACATTTTTTCATCTTTCAGGTAAAATGTGTCTCCACTGCAAGAAGACCTTCCCTTCCAACGCCTCCATGTTGATCCACCAACGAAGTCACACCGGAGAAAAACCATTCGCCTGTGAATTTTGCAATAAATTGTTCAACGTCAAAAGTAATTTGTTGAGGCATCTACGAACCATACACAACAAACATCTCAATGCAGCCGAATTCGAGAAGATAGAGGAACCAGAGAAAGCTTGAAAGAAGGAATTATCTAAGGGCAATATGCAAGGAACGATTTTACAGTTGGTCTGTTAATAATTTATTTGTATAGCAGCGCATCCTATATATGATAACCTACGACTATTTTTGGCGTCAGGCTTTTTATTTTGAGTCTAGATTGTCTCAGGCTTGGGATTCATATATCTAAGATAGACCAAGGCGGATCTGTGAAAAACTGACTATATTTGGATGTGAGAGGTAGCCCTTTACCTAACTACTTCTGCAAAAATTCGAATGCCACCTCTGACATCCACCTCAAAACATATCAGCCAATGGTCTAATATAAGTTTGCTTATTATTTTTTATCGGTAGTCTTCCTGTGTGTTCATATGACCATAAATTTGTGACTCTCTTATTCTTATCTGCAACGTTTTTTCGTCTTAGCATCATCACATTGAAGATAGAATATCATCACATAGAAATGGTAGAAGAATTCTGCTACTTAGGATCACTGGTAGACTACAAAAATAACACATCCAACGAGATAAAAAAAAAAGAATATGCGTGGCTAACCGCTGTTATTTTGGCCTGGGCCCTCAACTAAGATCGAGAAGTATGTCAAGAGCAACAAAGTGCAAACTTTATAAAACAATAATACGCCCAGTGCTCACATACGGATCGGAAACATGGGCAATGACGACCCGAGATGAAGAGTTACTACGAGTCTTTGAAAGAAAAGTATTGAGGACCATATATGGCGGAGTAAACGAACAGAGGTCTGTGGAGAAGGCGATATAACTTTGAACTCTGTAGACTTTTTGGTGATGCAGATATTGTAAAGACCATCAAAATAAACCGCCTAAGGTGGGTGGGTCATGTTATTCGGATGGATGAGAGTGATCCCACTAAAATAACTATGCTAAACAGGCCGATCGGAAGAAGAAGAAGGGGGCGACCTAAACTCAAATATCTGGACGATGTACAGGAAGATCTGAGGGAGATTGGAGTGAGGGGCTGGAGAATGCAGACACTCGATAGGGAAGGATGGAAGAATGTTTTGAAGCAGGCCAAGGCTCACGAAGGGCTGTAGCGCCAACTGATGATGATGATGATGATCACCACATTAATTTCTATATCTATTCTCATTCTAGAACTATTATCTGTTAAATCTGTTAAATATTTTTTTGTTTAAATCATGAATGTGTTGCTTATGTGAGTCCATTTTAAAAGGTAAAAAAGAAATAATTAGACTTACTCACAATCAGTTTAATTTTACTACCTCAGACGACCGGTTTCGCTTTCTAAAATTTGCAAAAGCATCATCAGGTCGGTGGTACAAAGTAAATTAAATGCTGAAATTATAAAAAGCCCATATTAGGGTGCTGTCTTATAAGGATATAGATCAAAAAGTTATAATCAACAAATCCAATCTATTATGTTACATTCTTGCTAATTTTGCAGTTTTCTTGTGATGATCTACAACCAGGAAGAACAAAACCAAATGTATCAATACAATCAAATTAAAACACAACATTACTTTAATAATGTTCTTATATTGTGATGAAAACAAAATGGAAATGCTTCTTAACAAGTATACACTAAATTTAAAAGATAGTTGCCGTTTTTCTTATGATAATTAGATATAAATAACATACATTTATAAATTTATAAACACTTTAAACTATATTTAGTATAAATATCATCTAGAAAAATATCACATTAAATACGAATCGCATATCACCAAGTCCAAGTTATTACAAACAACTTAAAGAGTCAGAAATCGATTTATATATTAGAGGAAAATAATAATAAATAAATTTCACAAATGTCATTAGTGTCAATATGTCATAATTTAGTGGAGTAAACTTGCCTGCGGTTGGACCAATTACAAACAAGCATTACGGCGCGGAAAATTTGAATTACTCCTCCTGGTTAAAAAATAGACCATAGTAGACAACAAAAAAATCCAATTCCTCTCCTAGCAAGTAATGTAGTGCCTATAAATCCCTATTTTAAAGTTTTATGTTTGTTTTGTCCTGTTAATGGTGTTCTGTTTGCCCATAATTGTGTTTTAATTTATTATTTTTAATATTTGACATCACAATTCTCTTCCTAGCAGAAATTAAATGCTTTTCAATCAAAAGTTTATAATTACAAGTCAAAGAAATTGCACACCCACAAATTGCAAATATAAATAACTATAATAATTTAAATAATATAAAATATCACATTTTCTTTCAATAAACAATAACATATACCTTACTCCTACAATCATCTGTTAACACCCATCCCCTCAAGAAACTTCCTCCTAAGTTGTTAGACAGTTACGACATTGACCGAAGATCACTCATTATCAGTAATAAGGGATAGTTTGAACTATGAATCACCAATCACTATATAGTAATTCTTGTGCCGGAATGTAAGTAGTATTTTGTTTATTTCTAATGTATCACAATTCAACAGACTTTTTCTCATAGCAATTTGTGGGTTGTTACTCTGTCTGCTAATGCAATTTATGCATATTAATTAACACAGACATGTAATATTGGCATAATTACTAAAACTTTTTTGATCTATAACTTTTTAATCTATATCCTTATAAGACAGCACCCTAATATGGGCTTTTTATAATTTCAGCATTTAATTTACTTTGTACCACCGACCTGATGATTAGAGGTGTGCTTATTAGTTTTTTTAGACGAACTAGTTCAACAGAACTATTTCACAAAAATGAACTAGTTCAGTGAACTAGTTCGCGAAAGAACTATTTGTAGGACCGACATCGAAATCCAACCCTAACAGAACTGGTTGCCAGATGTCTCGTCTCAATCATCACACAAGCTCGGCGCTGGCCGCCCGTTTACTTCGGTTTTCAGTCAGTCTTTCACTAGTTCACTACCGTACAAGTAGTTCGGAACTATTTCTTTCGATCGTATGTTTAGGTTTAAATGGTTTAAATTATTATATGATTAGTTAGTTTTTATTTGCAAAAAATTATTAAGATTTGTTTTTTATTAACCGTTTTAAATATAAATATGGTTCAAGTATGATTTATTTTTATATTTACGTATATTTAAACTCATAGGTATTTATAATTAGGTTATTTCTAAAAGAACCTTTACAAAAAAAAATCAGTGAATTTTCTAGGAACATTAAATAACACATTTTCATTTTCACTTTTACATAAAATTATATTTTATGTAAATGCCTCAATCATTTTAACCACAACTAAAATTTTTATTTCAAAATTACAATACAAGAAACAACACAGCATGGCAACATCCAAGCCAATACATGGGCATAAGATCCAAACCATTATGACATTAAGATAAGACCTTATGGTATTGTCACATTCATAAGAATTATGAATCTGTTATCTGAGGCTAATCGGCATTTTTTTAAACTAGTTAGTCCATCCATTCACAAAATAATAAATATATGTTCTAATTCATTCATTCATTATTTTCTTCTTTAGAAGTCGAGACATAATTTATAATGCAAATCGTTCGCAGTGAACTAGTTCTATGAAAATTAATGAACTAGTTCAATTAGTTCAGTTGAAAGAATCGTTCATTAGAACTATTTCGATGGTGAACTACACATCCCTACTGATAATGCTTTTGCAAATTTTAGAAAGCGAAACCGGTCGTCTGAGGTAGTAAAATTAAACTGATTGTGAGTAAGTCTAATTACTTCTTTTTTAACCATTTTTTTGTTTGTTTTTTTTAGATGTTCCGAACATTTTCTTTGGTTAGGATAGCCCGTGTTAATATTATGCTAGTTTTTATTCCAAAAAAACAAACGTCCACATCTTCCTCTCTGATGATATTTGTACTTATCTCATTAAAATTAAATTGTAGTGTCTCTGTCTTCCTTATCTTTGTCATTCGCCATCAAGTCGATACAATCGGTATATTTAAGGCACTATTACCTTTCAGGGCTTTCCTAAAGAGTGTTAGAGACATCATTCTACTAAGGACTAAACTTTTTATCATTTCTAAAGATGTTTTCTACCATATTCTCTCTACTATATATGGAACCTTTTATTGGATGTTATAAAAGACTTTTTCCTGAGACGGAAATATTCCTAATGGAGTTTTTTTAGTAACATTACATGGTCACAGGTGGTAAAACCTTTTCTTAATTCGGTTTTTCGTTAGGTAAGCCTGTTGCTATTATTTTGGTTAATAATATTTATAGAAATAAAGCAGAGGATATAGAATGTTATTGAATAATATAAAAATACACCAAAACAATAATTAAAATACTCATAATAATTATATTATTTTACAAACACATCAACCGCTACTATCAATAATAGTACTTTTTCCAAAAATCTCATGTTATTTATCTGTCGCTAGATGCTAAAGAATTGTGTAAAATAAAGACTTTATTTTTTATATTGTTTTATTTATACTTGGAATTAAATAATGTGTCTAAAAATGAACAGAAAATAAAACCAAAAAAACAACACTACATCATATTATGCATGTAAAAAAGTTTGCATCTGTGATGATTTTTGACGACTACTTCAATTAATATTGAAAGACTATCAGTAAATAAAGAAGATCTATTGTCTAATATGTGCAGAGAACACGGTGTCGATGTCCTACTGGTTCAAGACACCCACCGAGGCACTGCAAGTCGCAGACCAAGAATTAGAGGTATGGAGGGACCACACGACCAATATGGACGCAGTCTTCGTCAGACTAGATACCGACATAGTTTCCACATCTTTAACACATCGAGATGACATCAAGATCCTCACAGTGGAACTAAAGTCTTGTACGGTAACGTCAATCTACAAACCGCCAAACGCTGACTTTGGTTTTGAGGTACGGGATAACTTTCAATTACAGCAAATAAAATTCATACTGGGTGACTTCAACTGTCACAGTATCGCGCGGGGGTATAAGGAAACAAACTGAAAGAAGAAAATTGGGCTGAAAACATGAACCCCACACTTATTCATGATCCAAACAGGCATCTTTTAACAGCGGAAGATGGCGCAGAGGTAACAACCAGACAATATATTGGTC